CCTGAGCTGAAGGCAGGTGCCAAACCGCTGAGCCACCCAGGGATCCCCAATGATTGCTTTTTTTGAGCCATGGGTTATTTATTGGTATGTTTCTTAATTTCCAAACATAAGGATCTTCTAGTTATCTTTTTATTTTTTGACTTTTAACTTAAATATGTTGGTCAAAGAATGTATTCTATATCATTTTGGTCCTCTGAAATATGTTGAGGCTTGCTTTGTAAGCTAGTGCAGGGTAATTTTTAATGGCGTCTGTATTCTTGAAACAAACGTGTAGGTGTTAGATGCAGTCTTTTATACATCCATTAAGTCCAGTTGATGAATCCTGTTGCTCAGGTATAACGTATTTTTACTGATGTTTTTGTCTATCTTTAACTCTCTATCAACTACCTTCTTATTTTACACGTTGCATTTGTCCTAACAGGCTTTCTCTCTCTCTCTCTCTCTCTTTCTTTTAGTTCTTGCCTCCTTCAGAATTGACTTTTTTTTTTTTTTTTGGTCGTTCCATTTCCTCTCCTCTACTAATTTGCTTGAGTTATTTTTATGGTGCCTAAAATTAGAGTATAGATATTTTACTTTGGATCTCACAAGGCACTGGTGTAGGAAAGTGAGAGAAAGAAAGGAAACCAGTCAGGCCCCATTCATGAACCAGTTAGTGCTGTGGGCAGCTGGGGCTCACTCCTGCTGGGACCTCTGCGAGAGTGCAGAGAACATGTTTCAGGATTCCTATCCCGGGAGCAAGGAAGCTACTATAATTATTCAGCAACTCTCATCTGTCACTGGGTGAGGTCCTGCAGATTGCTGCATTATCTGCCCAGCTTTTCTGACTTGCTCTATGTAGGGGCCAAACAAATTCCTACAACCAGAGAAAACCCTCCAACTCAGGTACTTGCAGTAGAAAAATATTGATATGTTGATTGATTGATACAGGCATGGCAATTGCCAAGGAAGTATGGGCAATACACCATCATCTGCTTGGAATTACAATATGCATAGTTAGCTTATCCAAGTCTAAAGATAATCAATACTTTTATCCTTCCTGGATGATTCAAAGATCTAAAACCATGTATTTACCCTCCCTCGAAATTTATAGGTTGTTGCTGTCATGTCTTTTAATTTCTTTTGGCTATTTTTAACCACATCTGACACAATTAAAGAAATTTTTTTAAAGATTTTATTTACTTAGAGATAGAGAGAGCATGAGTGGGGAGAGGGCCAGAAAGAGAGAAAGAATCTCTAGTAAACTCCATGCTGAGCATGGAGCTTGACGGGTCGCTGGATCTCACAACCCTGAGATCATGACCTGAGCTGAAATCAAGAGTCAGATGCTTAACCAACTGAGTCATCCAGGTGCCCTATGCCATTATTTCTTATACATCCATTAGCAATACCTGCAAGTTAGTGTCCTTACCTGTTTTTCATTCTTTCTTGCATCTCAGACCTTGATTTTTTGTGCACTAGTATGGTAGAACCATTTTCTCACAAGGTTGTGACCTGAGATAACAAAGCAAATGCTTATGAGCCAACCACATGGGAAGAGCAGCTACTGGCCGACCATGCTCCCAGTTGTATGGGAGTCGCATGCTTTCTTGATATTTTTCATTTCTCCTTCCTTCCCCCCCTTTCACTCTCCTGTCTCTCTTCCTTTCTTCTTCCTTCCCTCTTGCTCTTTGCTCCCTCCAGAGGCTATTGATTTTGGAACTATGTCTTCACTACATTTTGTTCACATGAGAGCATTGCCTTTCCAGGCCAATGCCCAAGACATTATCAATTTTTTTGCTCACTGAAGCCTGTTGGAGTCACCATGGAATATAGTTCCAGTAGGAAGGCCACTGGAAAAGCAGATGTTTCCCTCAGTGTCCATGAGGATACTGTTGCAGATCTGCTCAAGGATTGCTTTCATGTTTGCCATCTGGATATTCAGTTGTTCTTGAAGTCCTATTCAAAAGGAAAATAAGACGTTGAGGGATCCCATGTAATAAGGATAAAGCAAGAAGCATTTCATATATATATCTTCCTTAAACTTGGGATGTGAAGTTCCAGTTTGTTAGCAGCAATTGCTAGGGAAAGGATTTGGGGGTTTTCAGTTAATGGCTTCTTAGAAAAATTCCATAGTGGACCATTTAGAAAGAAAAAGGGAAAATGCAGCTTGGGATAATGAAATAAACCACAAATTAAAATTCTTGTTTGAACTATTCAGCATCTGATTTAAAAATCTGGTCTTTGTTTTATATGATTAAACAGTTTGTTTTCATAGAGTATATGTTAACTCTAAAGAAAAAAAAGGTTCCCTTCCAGAAAAGCTTCCAGAGGCTGTTGATTTTGGAACTACATTTTCACCACATGTATATTTGTATATTCATACATTCATAATTATAACAGATATTCATGTGTAACAGTGGATAGAGGGCCAACATGCAGAGCAGATTTCTATCTATAGTGAAATCTGATTCTGATTATAAATCTTGGCAGATTCCAAAAAGGGTAGGAGAAAATTAATGACAGGATGAGGGGGCAAAGGGTACTATGGTATCAAAGCCACTTATATAAGCTGTATAACTACTATTTTTAAAGTTCCCTGTTAAACTGACCCATGAGTAGGAAGAGGGTACATTTCCCAAGGTAAGGATTCAATGTAAGGGAAACTATGATTTAAATTTCTCAATACCTTGAACAGAGAACACTGAACAGAATAGATCAGAATAGATACTATTTAAAAATAATCAAAACACATCACCTTAAAATATGTCACTTGGTATTTGATTATCTTGATTTAAAGGTGTTTTAAAAAATGAGTAGGCCCAAGAAGGACACTCTGATCCTCCTTTTTCTTCCTGAAAGCAGGAGATGAAAGTCCCTTATGAAAGGTACCCTCTCTGTACCAGAGGAAGGAAGACATTCTCATCACCAGCGACAGGGAATTTGGTGGTGAGAAATCTGTATACACAAACCTTATTAAGCCATCCCTTACCCTCTTAGTTACTTATTTATCAGTTGCTACTCTTAGGCCAAATCCCTCTGTCTTGTCAATTCTTCACAAATTGATTGTTTCATTGGCTATAGGTATAAAGGTCTCCTGTTCCGGTCACTCCCTGTGGTCTTCATTCTCTCATGAAGCCTCCCATGTACATGTGAAAACTTAATAAAATTCACATGTTTTTCTCCTATTAATCTGTTTCATGTCAGTTTAATTCTTAGGTCCAGCCAGAGAACCAAAGATGGGGAAGGAGAATTTTTTTTTCCTCTCCTGTATTATCATCCCCATTTTATGCACCAAAACTGAGGCTTCCAGATGTCAAAAGTTAGTTTTTCTAACCACCATTGTTATATGAATTATTGGTGGCAGGTCAGGATGGTGATTTGTGTCTTTTGACTTTGAGTACTGGATGTTTCCTGCTGATTATACTCCACTACCAGGGCAGCTGGGAGAAGCAGGATTTATCAGCTGCGGTGCCTCTGAGCCACTCACAAAGACATATTGTATTGATTCTATATCCTTCCCATCTGTGATTTGACTTTTGAAGTTCTAATGGTTGTAGTCATCCGAGACATTTGGTCTGTTCCATCTAAGTCCCCGTGATGGGCAGTCTTACTACCACATAGATCTCTTTTACTACCCCAACACTTACTGGGAAGTGTCAATGATTGACCCAGACTGGACCAGGCAGACAGATTTCTTCTCTAAGGAATGGGATTTGGACTACAAAGACCCATTTGGCCAGCTGTGAGGAGGTGGGTTAGAAGATTCTGTAAGGTCAGGTGCAGAGACCAGCATTTGGAATGGTCCAAATGGAGCTGTGTATAGTGGATGAGCAAAAGAAGCCAGTTTGCAGAGAATCAAGGCCCCTAGGAAGACAGAAAGAGATAGAGAAAGACCAAGAGAGAGGGAGAGAGAAATTAGCTCCCTAATGATTTTCTGGTTCAGGAGACACAGTTAGATACCCTGCAATGTGTTTCCACTATATTCTCCTATTAATAATTCCTTTTTCACCTGAACTGCTTTGAGTGAGTTTCTCTGCTTTGTAGCCAGATGTGGGCCCTTCCTAACTCATCACCCATGGAATATAGAGTACTCAACTGTGAAACAATATGACAATAGTCAACTGATCAACCAGTGTTTTGAACACCTACTCTGTAGATGTGATAGGCGGGGGGCTGCAGAGAGAACTGAGCCATAGTCCTTGATCTCAAGGAGTTGGTGGCTTAGTGCATCACTCACATAGCAGTTTAGTTTGGGAAGTAAGATTGACACAGACAAAACCAGGAACAAGTTTTGGTTGTTCAAAAAACCAAAACCTGAGTGTTTTTTTGAACCCAAAATCAAGGGTTCAGCAGGGTGAGCTAATTCTAAGGGCAATGTGAGTCCAGAAGAGGGAATATAAAAATTCTTAAAGAAAGTGGAGCACTTAAATTTCATCTTGAAAGGACCATCAGGATTTGAATGGATTGAAATGAGTGGGAAGGCTTAGGGAGGAGGTGGTTTCCATATGCAGAGGACTGACAGCTGCTGGGAACTGTGGAGGCCCAGAGAGGAGAGCCAGGGGTGTGCAGAGCATGAGGAGAGGATTACAGGACTGTGGCTTGCCCAGACATTGGAGGGAGCCTCATCCAGGTTTTTTAAATTGCTCTTTTCACCCCCTCTCATCTGCGATTCCTTCTTTATCCAACATTCCTTAGCCCTAAAGACATTTCCTAATCCTCTTCTTTCTCCTCCTTTCTTTATGATTGTTAAATTTAAACCATTCTTTGTGGCTCTCTTTTGGGAGTATCATTACAAGAACAATGATGGTGCTCTGGGGAAATGACCCACCTCTGTAAACTTAGTGGTTCTTCTATGAGCTAAATGATTTCCCGGATGAGCCCAGATGGTTCCTCCCGCACTTGAACTTCACCCCTTGGCAGAGAATTGCATGCAGCTCATGTCCCTCCCCTTCCTGCATGCACTTCTCCTAGGCTCCCTTGCCCAAAAATTTCATCACCTCCTAGAATAGCCAAAAGATTCTTGGTATATTTCTGTTAGTGTTTAACAGATCATCCGTGTCTAACCCTGAACTAACAGAAGAAAGATTGAAGCCTGAGACTTAAAAAGACAACTTTTGCAGGGTGACTCCCTGGGTTCTGGAGGAGAGTGAGGGAAGGCAAGTGGACAGGAGGGAGCCACAATGGAATCTAGCTTCACCTCCAAGGACACTTATCTGAGACATTTTAACCCTCGGGATTACCTAGAAAAATACTACAACTTTGGGACCAGACACTCTGCAGAAAATGAGATTCTCAGGCATCTTCTGAAGAATCTTTTCAAGATATTTTGCCTTGGTAAGTTTGCGTGTTATCTGTGTGTCTCCCTGCCAAAATGTGAGGCATCCCAATAGTGTCTTAGTGCATGGCTGGGGTTGTGTGTAGTCATTGCTATGGGACAGCCCTTCTGGCGTTACTCGTTTATTTAAAGAGGATGAAAAACCACTGTTTTTTGGTATGCACATTTTACAATTTACAGAGCGCTTTTATATGCATGATCTCATTTGGGTGTGCAAAGGGAAACCAGAAGGCAAGAGTTCAGTCCTTGAGTCTACATCAGTGTGCTGGGTGACCAGAGCCAGCCATTCAACCATGATAGGCCACGTAAGAGAAGGAGATTGTAATACTAATTCCATTTCTAATGCAAAGGAATGTTGTGAATGTGCATGAGATTACAAAACAACAACAACAACAACAAAAACCCTCCCAACATATGAAGGTTTGGATGCTTTTTGGAAAGAGACATAACAATTCAATTTTGAAAACAATTTTAACTTTCCCCAGGAGTATTCCTTAATAGTTTTTTACATTTTCTGTGCAGCAGTCTTTCTGGATCAGGGGTCTGTACACCAGATGTAGACCTCCTCTTCCTTCTTCTACACCTAAAGTTACCCCAGCAACATGCCTCCAGCCCAGACTGTGGAATACAAAATGCAGACACGTTTAAAAAAAAGATTTTGAGGGAAGAGGAGTGAGTAGAGAGATGGGCTGTCTCAGGGGCTCTCTCACACAGTTCCAGCAAGGACAGTGCATCTCAGCTGTGCATTGGTATGATACCTTGTTCCCCCTCTAAACCAGATGGCGTGAAGGGGGACCTCCTGATCGACATTGGCTCTGGCCCCACCATCTACCAGCTCCTCTCTGCTTGTGAATCCTTCAAGGAGATCATTGCCACCGACTACACCGATCAGAACCTGCAGGAGCTGCAAAAGTGGCTGAAGAAGGAGCCAGGGGCCTTTGACTGGTCCCCAGTGGTGACCTACGTGTGCGAGCTCGAAGGGAACAGGTAGAGAAACTGGGGTCTGCTTCCTGGCTTTCTGACAGTACCTGAGTGACAGTTCATTTTTCTGAATCAAGAATTATCCTTAGAGTCCAAGTTAAAAAGCAGAGGGAACAGAGAGAGACCAAAGAGAAATCCAGATGGGGAATAAGAGGTAGAGAGAGAGAATGAGACAGAGAGGAGTGGGAGTGTGCACTTGCACATGCGCACACCAGAACAGCAGAAGACACAGAAGAGAACTAAGAGATGGCCATGGAGCCAACGGGAGGCAGAACCTTCCCAGGCCAGTGTGGGGGTGCAGTGTGCAGGCAGGTACCCTGGGATGGCGATGTTTAGGACAAGTTTAGGAAAGAAGTAAAATCGGCTCCTCACCAGCAGTTTTTGGGGGTCAGGTCTTGCACCCAGCACGGTCCTCCATCCAAGTGGGGTGGGGGGGGAGGGCTCTGCTGTGAGGGTAGCTAATGCTGACACCACCAGAGGCAATAAAAAGCTGACTAGGCTTTTGGACCTGGGATTAGCAGCATAAAGGAATGATCTGAAAAGAATGTGTTACTCACCAGCCACAAAATCAGCTTGACATACTCACAGCTAATGATCAGCATCTTAGCCTACCCTCATCTACAAGTCAATTTATGCAAATGAGCCTTGTTTCAATTATTAATTTCTCTCCGCATGAGAACTTGTCAGTAGCCTACTAGACAGAGGTGGCCGGTTCTGCACTTCACTTTCTCTTTCTCTTGTCCCCATGTCCCTCCATCCTCTGGAGATTGCCCCGCGATGGCTCAGCCCAGTGCCGCTGTCCCACGCAACTGACGGTCACTCCAGCAGTAGAATGTCTTTGCTGTCATGCATGTTGCTGAGGCCCCACAGGCTCCTTTGCAAACTGTATTAAAGGACCACATCCATATTCCTCTTCGGAGCCTGCTGGCCCGTCTGCTACTTCTTATATGCTCAGTTATTTCTTCCTTTCTTTTTTTCCCCTGCTCTTATTGTTTTTTGGTACATTTTCCCTATCTTTCTCCACCTTCTTGCCCATGCTTTACTTTTTACATAATTCTCCCTTCCCCAGCCCACTTCTTCCTGTATTTGCACCCCCACCTTTGCTCCTATATTGTACTTCTCTGTGTGGCACAGCATCCTCTGTCTTGCCTTGTCTTTTTGTTCACGATGGGAAAGCATACCTATTTTTTTTTTTAAGATTTATTTATTTTAGGGAGAGAGAGAGAGAGAGAGCACACATGGGAGGAGGGGCAGAGGGAGAAGGAAAGAGAAACTTAAGCAGACTTGCAGTGAACCCAGAGCCTGGTGCTGGGCCCTATCTCAGGACCCTGACATCACAACTGAGCTGAAACCAAGAGTCAGAATAAACAGACTGCGCCACCCAGGCACCCCCAAAGCATACCTATTTTTATTGAACATATTCCTTGCTTTGGCCAGGAAAGAGCTCTGACTTCCCAGCAACACAACCCCCCTTCAAGAAACAAGTGCTGATACTTTTTGGATCTTGGTTAAAGGAACCAGCATTTGTTCATTTATTTAATGAACCAAGATATAGCATGTATGATGTGCCACATGGTCCTAACTGCTGGGGTAGATTGGTAGACAAGCCTCGAGTCTCCTAGACCTCATATCAGGGAAGGCGGGCACATGTCAGATCATTTAGAGCTTTGAGGCCAGGCTAACGATCCGGTATTTCAAGTGTGATGAGAAGGCATTAGAGGTGTAACCAGGAAAGTGATGTGGCCCCATTTACATTTATGAAGATCTCTTTGGCTGTTGTGTGGAGAATGGGGGAGAATGAGAGATGCAGAAAGGAGACACTTTAATCCAGGTAAGATAAGATGGTGGCTGGAGGGTTGGTTGGTGATGGAGAGAGGAAGGTGATTTTAAGATGAATTATTGAGATAGACTGGATAAGAGTTGGTAATGATTGGTCATGGGGAATGATGAGAGAGAAGTCTCAGGGATGACGCCCATGTTTCTCAACTTGAACAACAGGAGGAGTGAAGTAATATTCTGGAATCCAAGGGATAAATATAAAATCTTGTGATCTTAACATGTCCCTAAGGAGTATGTCTACCTCCATACTCCATACTCTTCTTCTCAGGTGATGGTCAATTTATTTTTCTATAAATGCACTTAAATTCGATTCTCATTACTTCACCAAATATGCTTATTCTTAAGTCAGATTCTCTTCTGAAACTAATTCTACAGGCTGCTTTTATTTCTTTAACCCCTTCATTTTCTTTTCATGGTCTGCTGAATTCTAGCTTAGTTAGAGTATTCTAAACTCCATATTTGTTTTCTTACATGTTGTTGCCACACTGTCTTATTGATAGTCAACATGGGTTGTCCGATGCAAGTTATCAAGGTGACTTGTTCTTTATACAATTCCTTATACTATAGAGGTATGAACAATAGTAATTTTATATTTTGTTTCTCAATTAATGTTTTTGCTACGTGCAGAGTCGCTAAACTTCCACTGGGTTTCTGCTTTTATCCCTTTTACCAGGGAAAGGAAGTCTTGAAATCACATAGTGTAAATCCTCCAACTTTGTTCTTTTTCAAGATTATTCTGGCAATTTTAGTGTATACACACACACACACGCACATAATATATTTAATTGAAGTATAATTAACATACAGCATTATATTAGTTTCAGGCATATAATATAATGATTCAACAATTCTATACATTACTGAGTGCTCATCATGATAAGTGTGCTCTCAATCCCCTTTACCTGTTTCCCTCATCCCCCCCTCCCACTTTCCCTCTGGCAACCACCAATCTGTTCTTTGTATTTAAGAGTCTGTTTCTTTTATTTGTCTCCTTTTTCTTTGTTTGTTTTGTTTCTTAAATTCTGCATATGAGTGAAATCATATGGTATTTGTTTTCTTTGTCTGACTTATTTCACTTAGCATTATAACTTCTAGTTCCACCTATGTTGTTGCAGATGGAAAGATCACATTTTTTATGGCTGAGTAATAGTCCTCATAGTCCACATAATATATATGTGTGTGTATATACATATATATATACATATATATGTATATACACATACACACACACATATACCACATCTTCATTGTCTGTTCATCCATGGATGGACACTTAGATTGCCTCTCTATTTTGCTATTATAAATAATGGTGCAATAAACATAGGGATGCATATATCTTTTCAAATTAATGCTTTGTTTTCCCTAGGTAAATATCCGGTAGTGAAATGACTGGATCATATGATAATTCAATTTCAATATTTTGAAGTACCTCCATACTGTTTTCCACAGTGGATGTACCAACAGTGCATGAGGGTTCTTTCTTCTCTATATCCTCACCAACACTTGTTATTTCTTGTCTTTTTTATTTCAGCCATTCTGACAGGTATGAAGTGATATTTTATTGTGGTTTTGATTTGCATTTCCCTAATGATTAGTGATGTGGAACATGTGTTCATACGTCTACTGGTCATTTGATATATTCTTTGGAAAAATATCTGTTTAGGTCCTCTACCCATTTTAATTAGATTATTTGTTTCTTTGGTGTTGGGTTGTATAAGCTATTTATACATTTTGGTTATTAATCCCTTATCAGATATGTCATTTGCAAATAACTTCTTCCATTCAGTTAGCTGCCTTATTGTCTTGTCGATGTTTCTTTCATTGTATAAAAGTTTTTTTTACTGACACTTATATTTTGATATAAATTTTAGAATAAACTGGGGTGCCTGAGTGGCTCAGTCACTTAAGTGGTTAAATGTCTGTCTTGGGCTCAGGTCATGATCCCAGGGTACTGGGGTCGAGTCCCCTGCTCAGTGGGCAGTCTGCTTCTCCCTCTCCATCTTCCCCTCACCCATTCATGTGCACAGGCCCGCACGTGCATGTGCTCTCTCTCTTACAAAATAAATAGAAGCTTTAAATTTTAGAATAAACTTGTCAATTTCTTTCAAAAAAGACTGCTGAGACTTTGTTAGTGATCTCTGAATTTACAAATTAGTATAAGAGAATGGACATATGGAATCTGCAGTCAGCATGATTTCTATTTATTTAGAAATTCTTCAGTTTCTCTCAGTAATGTTTTGTGGTTCTCATATTTTGTATTTATTTTGTTAAATTTTTCTTATGTTTCATTTTTAAATTATTGTTAATTGAATTTTTAATTTCAAATTTCAAAAATTTGTTAGTATATAGATATACAATTGATTTTTATATACTTACCTTGTGTCTTGTAACCTTGCTGACTTCACTAATTAAGTTTAGTAGCGCTTTTTGTAGGTCCCATAGGTTTTCCTATGTATACTCTTATCTGCAAATAAAAATAGTTTTACTTCTTCTATTCAAACTATATGCCTTTTATTTATTTTTCTGGCCTTATTACACTGGCTAGAACCTCCGAAACAATGTTGAATTGAAAAGATGAGAGTGGACATACGTGCCTTTTTCTATATCACAAGAAAAAATGTTCAATGATTCATTGTTAAGTATAATATTAGCTATAGATTTTTCACAGATATTCATACTAATTTTTTTATCATACTATTTTTTTATATTTGTAGTTTCTTGGGAGATTTATTTATTTATTTATTTTTTATTTATGATAGTCACATAGAATGAGAGAGAGAGAGGCAGAGACACAGGCAGAGGGAGAAGCAGGCTCCATGCACCGAGACCCCGACATGGGATTCGATCCCGGGTCTCCAGGATCGCGCCCTGGGCCAAAGGCAGGCGCTAAACCGCTGCACCACCCAGGGATCCCATTTTCTTGGGAGTTTTAAATCAAATGTTGAATTTTGTCGATTTTTTGGAAATTAATCAAGATGGTCATATGATTTTTCTCCTTTATTCTGAAAGTGTGAATTGTATTGGAAGATTTTTGAATGTTTAAATCTAATGGCACACACCCAATTTTCATGAAGCAGTATATTTTTTATGTATGAGTGGTTATGATTTGCTAATATTTTGTTAGGGATTTTTCATCTACGTATATGAGGGATAATGAGCTATAATTT